TTTTCCATATGCTTATATAACCCATCCAAAAATGAGGGAGGCAAAAGGCTGCTTTAACATAACACAAAGGACAAACAGACAATTACTTGTTTCAATACTTGAAATATCAAGCAACTATATCCATTAGTTAAGTATTCTGTTACTTACGCAGAACATGTAACATTTACGCCTTAGACCAAACATTCTGTAGGCAGCCTGTCATATTGAAGGAGCAGAAATAGGCTTGAATTCTGTGACCTTTGGTCAAGGTGAGTTGGGTTCACCTCTATGGGCCATTTTAATATCCAAAACACCAAATAACCACACCCGAGGTCAGGATATCTTGTTTGTAGTCACACCTTAAGTTAAACTTATTGTCAATAACTTTGAAAGAGGAAGAGTAGGCTTAAGCCTTCAGTCAAGGTAGAGCAGACCCACTTCTGTAGGCCCCACATAACTCAAAGGAAAAAATGTATAACATTCAACCTCTAGACAAAAGCAAACTATAGGGACTTAATAAGTGTTGAGATAAAGAAAGAGAGAGAGAGAGAGAGAGAGAGAATCAGAGTATCCCAACGATGAACTCCTTTTCTGACTGTACGATACAAAGTAGGTTGACCCTGAAACTGCATACACACAAACAAAACAGACTCAGGAGGTTGTATCTATAAATATTTGTGCACACATACACACATACATGTATTTAACAACAATAATAATCAAAGAAAAAGAGGCTATTAACTTGGGAGTGGAGGAGGCAAAGGAGTGGTTCCAGGGAGGGTAATCAGGAGAAGAAGATGAGAAGAAAGTGGGGGTGATGTAACTATTTCAATTAAAAACATTTTAAAAGAAAATTAATTTTTAAAAAAAGGGATTTAAGGATGGGGGACAAGAGATGGTAATGGGGTAAATAACTGAAATACATCTTTCACATGTAAGAAAATATTGTACTGTAATATCATTGTATATAATAATATTCATAGTATATGACAATACATATACAAACATAAGATTAACTTGCTATATATGTAAAAAAAACATTTGACGAAGTAGTCTCTGAGAAAATAAATGATATCATATATTGGATGGACAAATTGTTACATACCATTTAGAATAAAGTAATCTCATGAATTTAAAAATAAAAATAAAATTTATCAACTTGGATAAAAACAGCAAGTCAAACAGAACAATAGGGCATAATATTTTTTCTATACTCACTGAAAAACAGCATACATTTTCTAATTTATTTTATAAGATTATTATAGAATGACTTCAAAGGCTTTGAGTCATAATTAATATGTAAAGCAGTAAAATAATTAGATCATGGAACAGAATTACAGAAACCACATACAGACTTGGTGCATATTACTTGATCTGAGGCAGAAGGCCAAAAGGCAATGGAAATCAAATTATGAAACGAAGGGGATGGGAAACAACTGGAAATTTTTCAAATGAATTTTAACTCTATTTCAACGTGTTACATCAATATGTATTTCAGAAGATATAAATGAAAAGATACCAGGAAAAATAGACAAATATGTATCATGTATGTTAACACATTTCTCTGTGATTATAGTAATGGCAGTGTGCGTGATGTGTGGGCACACACATGTGAAACCCCAAGATCAATTTAAGATATCCTGCACAATCACATTCCACCTTATTTTTTGAGAAAGGGCCTCTGACTCAACCTGGAACTTGGCAATTTAACTAGGAATTCTCTTGTCTCCTTCTCCCCAGAGCTAGAATTAAAGCTTGCACCCACTTTTATGTTGGTGCTGGGACGATGTCGAACTCAGGTCCTCATGTTTGCACAGCAAGTGCTTCACTGGCTGAGACAGCCCCCCCCCCGCACCTTGTGATCACTGGACAATAGAAAACCCCATGTGAAAACTACTAGAGGATTAGCACATTGGAGGCATGAAAATATGAGGTAACGAAAACACAAAGGAGGACTCTAATGAAAGACCAACGGATAAATGAAACAAAAGTTGACATTAAATGTAGCCATTGCTATCTTCATATAAAAATTATTCTTGTAAACCCATAAAAATCAATACCAAATTGTTAAATTTAAATTTACAATTTAAAAAATTAACTTGAATTGAATTCCCAAACAAAAAAACTGTCCAATGCCACAGGATGCCTAGGGAACAGCACAAGTCTATTTTAAACAGTATTTTCCTCTAACAGTTTGCTATGGTTAAAGATTATACCCATGATTAGTAGTAGATTAAAAAAAATGAGTATCACTTTTGTGAGATCAATTCATGTATTTCTGGGAAGCAGTTAAAAAACATGCATTAAAATTCTCATAACTTATAACCTTGTTTTTAGAAACATGTGTCTGTCATTATGCACCTATGTGCGTAGGTACCTACACAGGTCAGAAAAGGGTAGAGGATCCCCTAAAGATGGGGCTACAGGTAGTTGTGAACTACAGTGTGTAGGTGATGGGAACTGAACTCAGGTCATCTGCAAGAGCAGAATGTACTCTTAGCTGTGGAGCTCCCTCTCAGCCCCACAAGCCTAAAATTCCGTTAGGAAGAATATGCGGAACATAGTGTAATCATTTGCTCAACCGTTGTTCAACCATTTATCTTCCTCGCTATTTCACAGAATGCATCACCAATAAATATGAATGATAATTATTTTAGGCTGGGAAAAGAGAATGAGAACAAGATGGTAAGCAAGAATGATAAAGAAGATGGAGGAGAATACTAGCTCTAGTACATCTTCTTACAATAAAGAATGCTCTCTGTCTGAATGCATAGCAGCATTGCATCTGATTACCCCCTGTCTGGAATTCCACCAGCTCTTCTGCACACAGTTTTGACAGCATTATACCATGTAGTACTTAATTTTGTTTTCTACTTATTTTACTTTTCAAAATACTATCACTCAGTAAAGTTTTATAAATATTCTTCTATACTACTTTTGAACACCATAAATCTCTCCACACATAGACATTTCAAAATACTAAATAAATTTAACTGAATCACTATCCATAGCTAAATTTAGTTTATAGTCACAAACTTTGCCTACAGAACGGAACTTAAAAGATGTATAATGTAGAATCACTGAAGTTTGGCCGAGCTGTGAGTCTGGATGGAAGTCATTGAGCTGAGTCAAGACAAACTGATGTATTACACCAATCACAAGCACTTGGTGGGGGTGTAAATTCTTCTGCTGGTTAAGGTAGGGAAAGTCCCAGGAATGTATCAGGTCATCAGATATATGCATCTAAGAATTTCCTGTCATCACAATTCTTTGGTATTTATGATTTTACAGTGCTTGTTTAGTCTTTGCTCTTTCAAAGAACTATATTCAGGGAATAGTGAAATTGAAACAAAAACCAAATAGAGTTGAGAGAGTAGCCAGTATTGCTCTTCTGAGCTTAAATTTCTAAAATATACTTATTTATCTATCTGTTCTTTTACAAAATGTTAGTAAGTTTAAGACCTCATTTAAAACCTGTTGTATTAGATTCGCGCATTTTTGCATGTATAAAAGACATTTTTTAATTAGACACAATAACTTCATTAAAAGAATTGATATATATTTTATAAAACACTATTCTCTAAATTCTGCTTTTAAGATCATCTTGTAAGATTTTAGGAATCAACATTTCAGCAAGTCAACACCAGCTGTCATCCCGTGCAACCCAGTTTACTCAGAAACACCCCAATGCTGTAACATACTCTGTATTTTTCAATGTAAATTTAAATTTTCCCAAAACTTAAAAAATGATGTATTTATGAGGAATATTCAATACAGAACTGAAATAATAAGTCGTATGCAATGATAAATTTTTTTGCAGATGATTTTAAAGGGTTGGCTGTTACAGACACTGGACACCTTTGTCCCATAATCCTTTGTTTTCACTCACTTTCCATCTTCAGCAAGAAAACATTAATTCAGTTCTGCAAACATCCCTGAGGTCAGTGCAGGACTCCAACCTGTAGCCCATTAGGTGTAAGATACATGCAACACAAAAAGTTCAGGTTTTATTATCATGGAGTTGATAATAAAAGGGGTAAGAAGGATCAAAACTCCCTTTATTAAGATGCTTAGCACTCAGACAGTGTTGGCACACACCCTTAATCTCAACACAAATCTCTGTGAGTTCTAGGTCAGCCTGGCCTACAGAGCAAGTTCCAGGACAGGCTAAAAAACTACAGAGAAACCCTGTCTCAAAACAAACAAACAGATGTTCAACATTAAACTGTGCCATTTTCCATCTTATTCTCTAAAGAACAAGCTGATTGTTTCGATGTCTTTTCAAATAAAATTATTCCCATCTCAACTCTAAAATCTAGCATATAATAAAAATTACTGGATGAATGGAAACAAGTAGGTTATAGAATCCAATGGAAAAGTTTACTTTTCCTTAAAAATAAAACAAAATTAGACTTAAGGTTGTTTTAAATCTTAAATTAGCAGTCCCATTCCATTGTTCTCTAATAAGGATTTCATTTACATGGTAAAACTAAGAAACATTTATTATAATGGGCACCATATAATATGGGGAGCATCACACGGATTAACAGACACATATTAACTATTGATTTCACATTGAACACAACAGAAGACCTTTAAATGAACACCTAGAGTGTTTATTTATCTAGAGTGACAAATCTATATGACTTTTCTGCATTTTTACTGAAATTCAGATTGAAGCATCAACCTTTTCCTTCTTACAATACTACTCCAGAAGATAAACAAAGAAAGCCTAGCTAAAGGGCTCTTATTTCAATATTTTCTTTTTGAGCTAGCTATGAATCTGCAAGAAAACATCAGTAATTCTTCTCCTTCTCAAATTTTAAAGGTGCTTTAGCTTTACTTAGATTTCTAATAAACGCAAAGCATGTGATATTCTGAGTTTTTCTCTGCCTTGTCCATCTCAGACAGGAGATTCTTTTTGCCTCAAATCCCAGTGCACACATGTAAACACGATTACTCCAAACAAGGCAACAAGTGAGAGGCAAGGTTAAAATAAGGACTCAGACGATCTGACTCACAATCCAGCCTCCAACCCTTACAGCTTGCTGCTCCTTTGTCCTCTTCGCAGTGAATCAAGATACTTGTTCCTTAGCAGGCTGTTTCTGCTGCACATCCACTTTCTACCGCATTATGCAATGAAGTCAGAAGCCTGAGCTTGTGACATCAATATAGGTTGCTATGGTTACTCTTTCCATAAGTATTGCAGGTTCAGTGCAGGCTCAGAAGATGGGGACTTCAGTAGAAAAGCAAACTAACGAACATCCTCAGCTTACATTGCAACAAGAATTGGTGGGGAAACCTTTTCCAAATGAGCCATAAGTTTCATATTGATATACTATCATTGAAATAATTTCTCTAACCTATTATTTAAAAAAAAACTCCTACAACAGAAACAGCAATGTCAATGACCTTCTCAAATAACACATCCACGTGGTCGAGGTCCAAAATAAATCTCACCACAACATAACAAATTATACTACACAATCTGTTCTTATAGAAATAAAGTTGTACGCCTGTGTGTACGTTACCTGTTACACATAATTTCATAATAACACAAAGACAACCCAGCTTTTTTATCACTAGAATTGTTAAAAGGCTTGAGGATGCATATAATTTAGCAAAGAAGTCTATTTTTAGCAAAGGAGTTGTAACGATCACCTTCTGAGAGCACAAGTTCATCCTTATTCTCCTAAGATAATCTCCTAGTGCCTCAATTTAAATATTTTAATGTATTTACTCGCAGAGGCTTTATTTAAAAAGATTCTTATGCCTTTACATTTTTTAAACCTGAATTTGAAGCACATGAGACAATAATTAGAAACCCTGGACTCCTTTCTCCTATGGACCCTTTGTTATTACTTACCATCCTCAACAAGAAAACCTTCATTCAGTTCTGCAAACGTCCCTGAGGTCAGCGCTGGCGTTCCAACCTGTGGCCCATACATGGAACATAAAGCCCCCTATAAAAAGTTCATGCGTGAAGTTGATAATCATAACAAAACTACAGCGCCATGTGCCAGGCACTATGCTTAACTTTGTATCTGTCTCACTTAAAAACCACATCTGCAAAATGAAGAAGAGCGGTATTATCTCTACAAATACAGCTGAAGTTCAACGAGGTAGAGGAGCTTGCCCAAGATCACATAGCTCCTTAGAATACAGGTGGCACCTGAATTCAGGGCTAAGTTCAGAATTTTATGATGTTTGAACAGAATTTAGTGACAGTTTCCTATAACTATGACAAAATTGGGAAACTGTATCCTGATAAAACTGAGCGAGGCTTTCCTAAATGACGAAATCGTCTGTTCAAGGGGCATTTTATAATTTTGCATTCAGATTCCTGAACACACGCAATGGTTATTTTCCTGTTTAGAAGACTTGGCAGTATAATGTGTGTCTTCCTAAAGATGCTGCTTTGTACTTTAGATAGAGCATGGAACTACACAGCAGGAGAGAGCAGAAGCTCCCCAACAGAAGCTGAAAAGAAATCCCACACGAAAGAGGCAGCACAGATACAGATATCCATCCTTACACCACGCACAGAGCAGAGCTCACAGTGAATTAAAGATTTAAACATAAACTTGTCGCAAGTCCTCTGAGAAAAGATGGGGGAGGTCTTCGGGGCTGAGCGCCTGAGCTGACCCCGGGCTGAGGCTCGTTTTCCTTCCATAAACAGCTTCCTTCCCTGACCCCCTTGACAGCCTCAACTCCCACCATGCAGCTTCGTGGCTGAATATGTCTTCTTCCTAGGAACCTAATTTTAAAAGGCATAACTTTCTCTCTGTTTTTTTTTTTTTCGGTCTCTTTTTTTTTTTTTTTTCGGTCTCTCTCCTGCCAAGATTGAAAGTTTGTCTGCCTTGCTTTTCTCGCAAACTCTAACCAAATGTTCTTCAAGCTTCAAAATCAAACAAACAAATAAAAAGGTGGGGGCAAAACTGCCTTACATTGTTCTTAGCGGTGAGTTTTTCAATTTGACACAAAAAAAAAAAACCATAAGCAACAAAATCAAAAGCTACTTAGAGGAGGAAGTAAAGGTATTTGCAAAATGTATATCCAATAAGCAAGAATATCCAAACTATATATCATACAATCATACAACTCAATATAAAGAAGAGCAAAAAGTCCAGTTAGAAAACAGGCAAATAGACATATAAAGACATATAAATGGCCAGCTGGTATATGAAGAAACATTCAACTTCGTTAATTATCAGAGAAGAGAAAAACAAAGCTACATTGAGTTTTTGCCTTACTCCATTAAGAGTAGCCATGAGAAGAAAGTCAAAAATAGCATGTGTTGGTCATATACGGATAAGAGGGATGTTTTTACACTGTTTGTGGGAATGTAGGTTGGTACAATAATTATAGAAATATATGGCTGGTCCTAACAAATTAAAAATAGGACTAATATATCGTCTAACAATTATACTGCTAGGCATATTTCCAAAGAAAATGAAATCATCATCTCATAGATAAATCTCCATTGCATTTTCATTGCTGTTTTATCTACAACAGGCAAATACAAAAACAACCTAATGTCCATCAACAGATAAATGGATAAAGAAAATTAAAGGTAGTGGTTGGTGATATATATGTGAGTGTGTGTGTGTGTGTGTGTGTGTGTGTGTGTGTGTGTGTGTATCTAAATACAGATAAAGATCCTTAGATCCTTAAGAGTCTTATTTCTTCAACAACACAGAAGGGCATCCTGCAAAGTAAAATAACCCAGACATAGAAAGACAATTTCACTCACATGCAGAAGTTAAGGAAGTTGCATTCCTAGAGATTCCCAATGGAAGAGTGGCCACCAGGAACTGAAGGATACAACAAACGAAAACTTACTGGTCAGAGTGGGCGAGTTTCCAGTTATGAGTCAGTTGCAGATCTGGAGAGATAGGTCACTTGCTAAAATGTTTCCTGTCAAAACATGAAGAACTGAATGATTCAATCTCCAATACCTATGTACAACCAGGTACAATCACACACACACATGCAATCACAGAGCTGTGGAGGCAGAGATGGAGATCCTGGGACTTGCTAATCAGTCTATCAGCTGAACTGGTGAATCCAAGGTTCTCTATTCCATACACATACTAAGAGAGGAAAGTTCTAAGTCTCTAAAACATACATGTTGACTATAGTTAATAATAATGTTTCATGCACTTGGAAGTAGTTTAGGCATGTCTTAAATGTTCTCATCGCAAAAGTAAGTAATGGATGTTCCATGGATTGAGAATGGCAATGTGCTGTCTAGTTTTATGTCAACTTGATACAAGTTATAGTCATCTGAGGGGAGAGAATGACGTTTGAGAAAACTGACTCCATAAGAGTGGGCTGTAGACAAACTTATAGTACATTTTTCTTGCTTAGTGATTGATGTGGAAGGCTCCAGCCACTCTGGTTTTGGCCATGCCATATCCACCATAGAATTTCCCATTCCTCCTCCTCACTACTTCTCAGCCTGTAACACTCTAAGCAAGCACCTTGGATGCTTACTGGATGAACAATGATACTGGTCTATTGTTGTGGGTGTTGTATATATGCTTCATCTTCTCAGCTAGATTGTGAGCTCCTAAAGAAAGAAAGCTTCTAAGTAAATCTCAGTATGTATATATGCTGTGCTTACTAGTGTTTATGCTTCATTAAAAGGCAGCCAAAACTTATTGCATATATTTATAAGCTAAATATTTGCATCCCCTACTGTATGAATATGATCTCCTCTGATCATGACAGAGTCAGATACTTGTACTTGTTTCAGTAAAAACTCATGAATAATAAATTACAGGGTAAAATTTTCCTACCTGACTACACAGAAGAAAACAACATTTTCTTGAATTTTAAGTGACTTTCTGTGGGATATTTCAACCAAAGAGAGTAAAAACTGAAACTTGTTTGTATTAATCAAAATTCTTCCAGTTGCAAATGATAGAAACTTAGCTTACAATTAGCTTAAGTCAAACTGAAAGATGACTCATTGGTTTAATTGGAAGGCCATGTGTAGATCTGGTTTGAGTCACAGCTGGATACATAGGGCTTAATGCTATTAATAAGTTGTACTGTCTTTTCTCCAAGGGATCATCTTATTTTTTTAAACTATAGACATATCAATCACCTGCATGTTGTAAAGACAAAGACAAAGGTACCTATGATTTCAATTTTAAGGTAAGCAAACTGACTGAGCACATTGATTAAATATATATATATATATATATTTCTCATCTCCTACCAGTCCAACCCCACAGCTTAGTGAAAGGTTGAGGGGTAGGGGAGCAACTGAACCTTGAGTGGTTCATATATACAACCTAAAACTAACTGTGCAAGAAATAAGCACACCCATAAACAAAGTCATCCTGGAAGCAGATGTACTTGTGTCACAATGGTAGATAACACTATGTACTGGAGGAAAGAGACCAGCTGAAGGCTTTTACAAAGAAGGAGACTGTATAGGAAATACAACACCTTTCAGAAGTGTAAGAGAAAATCAAAGCCCAAAGGAGAGCCCTTTGGGTTCCAGATCATTTAGGTTGCTTTAATTCCCATTCCCCAATATTTATTATGCTTCTTTATATACCAGGTGACCTGATAGACACAGGAATAAATAGAACATTTAACCTTCATAATGTAAAAAGCATATTTATGGATATTCTGATTCAAAGGACAACATGATTCAAAGGGTAGCATCACAAAAGTGTGTGATGGAGGATTCATAAACAATAGACACATTGATGTGTATGGAGTGGAGGAGCAGGAGCTGATGAGATGAAAATTACGGAGAGAAAGGAACTAAATAAAAAATAAACTATGAACAGGAAGAACTTACAAAAATCTTATATCCATATTCAGGCTGTAGCTGATAAAATATAAGCATCTTATGGGTAAATTCTAGGTCTTGCTTTTGGGCAACAAAAATATTAAGAACAAAGAAAATAAGGTAACAATTTTTTGAATGCTTATTATGGGAAATCCATTGTCCTACAACATTTCCATGTATTGCTGTATGTAATTGTCAAAAAATTCTGTGAAATAAGTGTTAATATTCTCATGTTACACATAAGAACACCTGTAACATGAAGAGGTCGGGCCTGCTTGTTTATGAGTTTTTATGTCCTCCCACTAGGTCCTCACA